TAGTCGAATTGTCCTTGTTGGTGCCTCCTTAGGCTGCCAAACCCTCAATCATGGCCCATTACAGGCTCGTGCAGATCGATTTCAATTCGAGATGATACATTCCCTTCTGTTCATGCGGAGAAACAATTTATCTCACGTAGACATAAGGTATATGAACACCAAAAGTTACTAGCTAAAACTTATACGAAGAAACAAATTATCTCACATAGGCTAAGCTTTCACCTGAACTTAAAAGGGACAAAGCTCGTAAGTGAGCTTATGATAGATAAAAGTACGTGTTGTGTGTGAGGAGAAACTCATCAACCTTTAAAACATGACAAAAAACAAAATTTTCACAAACTCAAAACATGTCCAATTCTAAAGACCAAAAAAATCAAAAACCCATTAGTTTAAAAAATATGCATGGTATGTTGAAACTCAAAAATAAATAAAAGGATTGTAAATTAAATACAATTTAAATTTGTAATTTCCAAATACAAAACAACGTATAATAGTTCATGGTCTGACTCTCGAAATCCCCATCAGAGTCGCCAAGCTATCATAACGTCTCCCCGAGGGATCCGTTAAGCTTAAAAAATTGGTTTTCGAGGATGTGATTAAATGTGATTTGGAAAATAGTTTGATTTTAGAGTCTCCACCAACCATTAAGTTAGGTAGGTTGAAAACCTTAAACGTCAAAAATATGGTCTGTGTTTTACCAAAGATTGAGTTTGGGAGTCGATTACGTGTGGGGAAGGGTGAACACCCCACAACGGCCAATTTTTGGTACCTAAACGATTATATATTGTTTAAATATTTGGAATTATAAACTCGAATATATATTTAAATTAAGATCCTTTTATTCATTTAACTTTATTCAAAAATGTCAATTTTCGAATAAGTAATGCTTTTTGTGCAAACAATATTCTAGAAAGCACTTGCTTTACTGTTAAGAGACTTTCCCCTAGATTTTCCTCACAAAAGATATTATTTCGTAATTTTAGTAAAGATAAAATAACATAAAATAAAACAAAATAAAAGGGAAAAGCATTGAAAAATAATCAAAATAAATAAATGTAAAGGTAACACAAAGATAAATATTAAATAAAAATAAACAAATTTGTGCGAAAAAACCTCAAAAAGATAACTTCCCTTGTAGTTGGGAGATATCTTCGTAGATTTCTCATACAATAACATTTTCCCATTTACACATTTTAGAAAACAAAAGGGACTATAACAATAAGGTGGAAGCAATAATACAAATGTACATATAAATAAGGGACTGAAATAAAAACAAATGAATATTACAAACCAAAGTATTATAAGACCCTTTAAATTTTAAAAAAATTATTTATCTCTTTTAGAATATTTAAAAAATAATTTGTTTTCTTAAATTTGTTAATATTAATATGCATATATATATATATACATGTATAAACGAAATTAAATTATTGTTTTCAAAATATAAAATTTATATATATATATAAATTGTCATAAATAAAAAAAACATAAATATATGAATTTAAACTTATTTATTAAAATATTAATTTTTACAACTAAAAGATATTGATAATATATAATTAGTATATTTATAAATTTAATATTTTTAAGCTTCTTTAGATATTATTTCTTTATTTCTCAAATCATGACTTTCTTATTTTCTCCTATCTTTACAGTATTTTGAAATGAAATGAAATAACTACATCAAAGGATATCAAAATTTGATTTTTCTTTAAAATTTTAAAGGGTGAAAATTATATATTTTTTTAACAATCTTACATAATATTTTAAGCACTTTTAGTTCTTACCTTAATCTATAAAAAAGGGTAAATTCTTAATAATTTTCTCAATATTTTAGATGTTCCATTTATAATTTGAGTATCAAAACTTGCTACTATTCATTTCTTTTTCAAGTTCTTAGTGGAGAATTTATATTAAAAAATCTAATAAATCTACATTTATTTAATGAAATCACATAAAAAAATATGGCATTTAATAGATAAAGCTATTATTATAATTATTTTCAATATTTGACTCTTTCAAAATAAAATATCTAATTCCACCATTACTAATAATCATATGCAAGATGTGTTCTTGGTATCATAGGTGCACATGATCACTGGTGATCGTTTGTGAGATACACTACACATATGAAGGTTCACATAAGTCGTAGGCTCACATGTCTAGAGGTTCATATAACTGAGGTTCTAAGTAGTAACAAATCAGTAAAATATTTGTGCTAATTTTTGAAATGAAATCATAATTTAAAATTTTACATTAAGATTTAATATTTGTAGTTTAACTAATAAATTTATATATACTTTCACATTTAATTATTGTTTTTGATAATTTAACATACTAAATATTAAGTTATTAATTTTTATATCAAATTTATTTAAATTGTGTCAAAATGTTGTTATTAAAGGCTTGATTACCATTTATTGAGCTTATATTCCCTCTACTTATGTGTCACTTTAGGAATCCATCACAATTCTCAAATCAAACGTTGGACAACTTTTAATTAGGGTTATAAATTTAATCAATTAATTGAGAGAAAGTAAATATATATATATATATAATGTTGAGAGAGAGGAAAGCACATGAAGTCACGTGAGGAAGAGGGGGGTGGCGTGCCGGCGTGCCTTACTTTTTGTCCTACAGAAAAAGGTTGAAAAATGAAAGGGGATCACGTGAGCAGCTGTGTTTTTGTCTTTGCGTTTTCTGACATTTTGTGTCAGTGACGTATTAATCTGCTTCAGACATGTGACCTATTGTTTTCTTTTTAATTATTTATTCCTCTTTAATTTTCCTAATTAATTAATTTGTTTTTGTTTAAATAATTTTCTCACTGTTTTAATTAATTAATGATTTAAGTTGGTAGAGTAAAGACGAAATAAGTGACGTGGATTTTGGTCGTAGTTGTAGGATTCCCCTCGAGATCCGTACACAGCGAGAGCAGTTGATCCAAGATTTTATATAAATAAATAACAAATTTTATGTAAATATTTATTCAATATTCAGATGCACCAATTGTTAATATCTGAATCTTTCACTTTAAACACAAACAATTCCTTTCTTACATTTTACGCATGGCAGAGTCCCTTTACGGTCTGTTTATTTAGTTGTAATTGATTTTTTGAAAAAATAAATTACTGAAATTTAAATTACTAGAATTGAAAAATGAATTACTGGAATTTAAATTCTGAAAAATAAATTATATTTTTAGAAAACGTTTTTCGAAAAATGTTTTCCGTAAAATGAATTACATTTTTCTAAAAAACATCTGAAAACGTTTTATAATGTTTGGAATATATTGTTTAAATATTTTCTCCACTAGTTGAAGAGTTTTTTAAAAATTATTTATTACAAATATTAAATATAATAAATAATATTATTTATCATAAAACTTAATATTATTATTTTAAAATATTAAAATAATTTATTTATTATTAAATATTATTTTTATAATTTTATTAATAAAATAATAATTTGTATTTTAGTGAAATAAAATATTATAAATTATATTAATTATTTATTAAAGTAATAGTGTTATATTATATTTTAAAAATTAATTAGTATTTTAAATATCTTTATTAAAATATTATTTAAATATAAATAATATTATTCATTATTAAATATATAATTTTTTATATATTATTAAAATAAAAATATAATATCTTATTTTTATATAATTGATTATTTTATATAATATTAAATATTATATTATTTATATTATTATAAATATTAATAAATAAATAAATAATATTTTGATGAAAATGATATTAAAATATTTTATTAATATTAAATTTATAAAATAAAATTATTTTGAGTATTTATTTTTGAAGTGAAAAGTTCGGAAAATGAATATGTAATTCAGTTTACAGAAACACAAAGGAAATTCTGTTACTAGGAAAATGAATTACATTCTTGAAAATCAATTACGTGAAACAAACACGAGAAAATATTTTCCGAAAAACGAATTACGTGAAACAAACACGGGAATTCGGGGAAAACCAATTTCGTAATTCCAATTACGGCAAACAAACACACCCTTACATAAAATACGTTTTCAGTCGGAAGAAAAATGTTTTAAGGGTAAATTATATCATTTATCATTAAACTATCTTCTCACTCCTATTTTGATCACCAAAGTTTTAAAATATTTTAATTTGATCATCCAAACTTTTAACTTGTTCCTCTTTTAGTCATTCTCATTTATTTTGTTAGTAATTTTGTATGATGTGTCGTATTATATTAATATATTTTACCACATAGGATTATAATTAAAACCTAAAATTAAAACTCCTAAACCATCTCCATAAAATTCAACTCAAACTCTAAACCCTAAAATCAAACATTAAAACTCTAAACTCAAATCCTAAATCCTAAATTACAACACCCTTCCCATACTCACCCTCGACGGAAGCACATCCCCTATGATGCAACGATAACCTCACCTTCATACAAATAAACATGGGCTCATCGATAGTCTCACCTCCAAGTAACAACTCCCACCCTACCCTCAGCATTGGCGACCTCACCCACAAACCATTTCTTCTTCCCTCAATCCTTGATCTTTATATTCGAAATGTAAAAAATCATAATTTGATCTTCCATATTCAGTCTCTCTACGAAATTATACGATTTGAGAAACGGGTTGTTATTAGAATGCATCAGGGTCATGTTGTAGACACCGGTTTTTTTCCGAATCTACAAAAAAATATAAATATTATATTATTATTATTATTATTATTTAATTTATATTATAATTATTTTGTAGGTCCTATGTTGATCCCACGTAAATAAACTGTTTCCCTGTGTGGGAAACGGGTTGTTCACCCATTATCTCCTCAACGCACGTTTTTGTTGGGAAAGGGGGACCTGCACAAACGGTGCCAATAAAAAGGGGAGAGGAGCTGAGGCAAGGGGAAAGAGAGAAGCATTGTAATTCGTAACCAAAACAAGCTAAACCTCAAAAAAGCGATGGTCCCCCTCTCTCTATCTCTCTTGATACTGTCAAAATGGATCTGAATTTGGACTTGAATGCCCCTCACTCAATGGGCACAACCATCATCGGAGTTACCTATAACGACGGTGTCGTCCTCGGCGTCGACTCTCGTACCAGCACTGGGATGTATGTTGCTAAACGAGCATCTGACAAAATTACACAGCTCACTGATAACGTCTACGTTTTCCGCTCCAGATTCGCTGCTGATTCTCAGGTTGTTTCTGACTATGTCCGATACTTCCTTCATCAACATACGATTCAGCTTGGGCAACCTGCAACTGTCAAAGTTGCTGCAAACCTTATCAGGCTACTATCCTACAATAACAAGAACACGCTTGAGACTGGCCTTATTGTTGGCGGATGGGATAAGTATGAGGGGTAAAATATATGGAATTCCTCTTGGTGGAACACTGATCGAGCAACCTTTTGTTATCGAAGGATCTGGCTCAAGTTACTTGTATGGGTTTTTTGATTAGGCATGGAAGGAAGGAATGACAAAGGATGAAGCAGAGCAATTAGTGGTTGATGCAGGGGATCCGAGACAGATGATGCTGAGCTGTCAGATTGCACGTTGATGGCGCTGAGATACCATGAGTTGGCAGATCAGCGCAAAGGCGGGAATTGATTGTGACATGTTCCTCATTGGGGTCGTTTTGAGTATGTTTCAGTCTTTTGGCCATAACTTTGGCTACAGGTGTCAGAATCGCGCATAAGACCCTAATCCGGAAAGTTCTTTTCGACGCACACGCTCTTCACATTGAGCTACGCTCCATGTGGCCTTTTTTTCAACCTCAAATTCTGCCGTTTTCCCCTCCGAATCACTAGATCTAGTTATTTTTTACTATTTATGGTAATATTTCGATTGTTAATTAGGAAGTCAATTTAAATCCGATTTAGGCCGGATTTTTGGGAGATTGCTTATTTTATTTCGAATTTCAATTTAGAGTGATTTTCGGGATTTTGCTATTTTTGGCAAAATTCGAATAAAGAAGATTTTTTTTGCTATAACAGTCCGGCTTGTGGACTGCTTTTTGCATTGTTGGATTTTATAATATTTTATTAAACCCTAGAGACTTTTTTTCTCTGATTTTTTTTGGCGAATTTTCTCTTGTGAATCGTCTGTCGGAACTAGCCTACAGGATAATCACTATTCTGTCTGGCGTCAGTGGTTAAGGCAGTTTCCCTTGCCATTGCTCGTGATGGTGCTAGTGGGGGTGTTGTTTGCACTGCGATGATGCAATCAGAAGAAACACCATAGGGTGTAAATCTTCATAATTATTTTGTTTTTTATTTTTTTTTATTTTTATTTTTAATCAATTTTATTTATCCTTATTTATCTATCTTATTTATTTTATTATTATATTAATTTTTTCTTCTATTATTCTTTTTTCATATATATATTTTTATTTTATAATCTAATGATATTCTTGACTTTTTAGGGGAATTTTTAATCAATCGAAGGTAAGTAATTAGAATTAAATGTTTAAGTTTTAATTTTAATTTTTAAAATTAATACAACCAACAAATTAATTGGTACCGAAAGGGCAGTACAAGGGTATTAATCCTTCCTTGGCTGTAACCGACTCCCGAACCCGACATATTTCTGGTAAAACAAAGACCAAGTAAGATGGTGTCTGATCAGCCTAAATATTTTTAAAATGATCAGTTGCGACTCTAACCCAATTATTCAAGTCGAAGCCCAATTTCGAGCCCACCCGAAAGGCGGCCGCGACAGCTTGGCGCCTCGGCTGAGGACAAGTAAGTGAGACATGCCGAAATTAACTTCTGGTTGTCTTTTTTAGCGAAAATTACAAGTTTAAATTTTAATTTATTTATTCGATTCCAATTATTTATTTTGGATTATTTTTTCAAGTAAATAGTTGTACTGACGTTTTTTCAATGATTTCAGATTTTTGAAAAAGTTTATATCTAAAGGCTCTATACCCGAGCTCCAAACCGTATTTAAGTGGGGGTGAAAGCGATGTCTTCGTGAAAATTTATTCTCCGTGCGGGCCTAGCAAGTAGCTTTCGGGATTCATATACCTTATGTCTTCGTGTGAATTCATTCACCGTGCAGGCATAAGAGAATGTATCCTCTCGAGTTTAACTTAGTCCACATAAGCCTGTAATGGGCTTAGGGCTAAAGGTCTGGCAAGTTCAATGGGGTACCAGCAAGGAGAACTCGGGTACCTTTTTTAGAACCTAAAGCGGGAGACTACAAAGAATTAGAACCCACCCCAAAACCTCATTTCAAACCCTAGATTGCTTTGATATTATTTCATGTTCAAAGCATGTGAACTAGAAATTTATGCGGTTAGGACTTGTTCAAAATTAACATGCGAGATATAAATCATGGCCGGGTAGGAATAATAAGCATGTGGGGTAGATATCATGTGGGGTATGACTTTTATTTTCATGATTGTTTTGATATTTATTTCACTAACTCTTTTCATTTTTGCTCTCTTTTATTTTATTTCCATCATCTGCATCATTCGAAAGAGGTGTTGATCCACCAAAATAGTATTCGTTAAACGTAAATAATCTGCATTAATGGACAAAGGGGTTATAATACAAGAGATGAAAAACACAAAAGTCCGGCTATGGTTAGAGAAAACTCATAATGGATCGGGATTTATACTGTACACACCAAAAGTCAACTTTTGAGCTGACAAGGGTTTCAGGGGCAAGACGAGAAAAAAGGTTATTGATCTTGAGAGTCCTTTCAAAGACAGCAGGCCATTGTTGACAAATCCAAGAAGCAAAAAAATGAGTTTAAAATTGTTTCCTTCAATGGAGGCTTCCAAAGGCGCTTTTATTGAGGGCAGACTCAACAGAGAGAGAAAGCCGGAGATACAGTCATTCGAGACTTTTTGAAGCAAGAAGCTCGTCACTTGCACAGTTTAACCAGAGAAGCCAGAACGGTTCGATATGGTATGCAACCAGTGACAGAAAAAATACAGAAGACGAATCAATATGTTAGAAGTTGTTCGGGGTCTATACCTTTCAAATGTTTTTTGTCTCCTAAGATGTAACACTTTTGTCCCCAATAAGGATTATTTATAATAACAAACACATTTTTGGATTAATGCCTCGAACATTTCATGCATCATGCATTTAAATAGATTTTGCATTTTGTTATTTTCATTTCTTTACATTCGCATTAAATACCTCCACATGTCTCATAAAAAATGGGAACATTTTGACCCTATTCCCATAACCTACAAAGAGTTATACCAACAAATTTTTGACACCCACGTAGTGTCACCATATCCGGTGGAATCCATGAAGCCCCCATACCCCAAGTGGTATGATGAGAGTGCCCATTACGAATATCACGGCGGTGTCCCAGGGCACACTATTAAGAACTGCTACGCATTCAAGAGAGTCATGCAGAAAATGCGTAACTAGAATTTGATCAACTTCAATAACTCGGGGCATCCAAATAAGGAGGAAGATCATTTCATTTCATCATTTGCAGCATCATGTTTGAATTTGTTTTTAAACTTTCTCATATTTTGGTGTAACTTGTTTTTGAACTTTTCTTTTTATATGAACATTTAAATAAATTTATGCCACTTTAAAGATTGTGAGCAATGAATCAAATTTGCAGACTTGAAATTCTTTGAATATCAAATTAATTAAAAAAATCTGTAAGTGATCGGAGTTATAGATCTTTGATCAAATAATGACCCTTGATTTGACCTCAAAAGATATACTCAAACACCGTACCATTCTCTTGCAAATAACCAATATAGCCTTCTCCCTTAATAAGGCTTGGTATTTAGATGTGCATAGATGTGGACAACATGGGGCATCTTTTGCATATGATATTACTATACTTTTTATTTAAGACATTCAGTGATGATAATGATCTTCACATATGGAATAGTCGAGTAAGCAAATCTAGTTTAGGTCAGTTGCTTGGAAATTGAATTCTAAGGATGAGATTTCTTGACTTTCAACAACACCTAGACTATAACAGGTTCTCTTTGAAAAACTTAAGAAATTGGATCCAAAAATCATATTATAATATTATGTATATACAATAAATCTTGAGTTGTCCCTCTAAAACAATTGGTTAAACGCCACGACTTTATGGATAAGATTCAACTAGCCTGATAAAGGTGATTATAATATACAATAAAACTTGAGTTGTGTTTTTAGAGCAATTGGTTAAATGCCTCGGCTTTATGGATAATATTCAGCTAGCCTGATAAAGGTGATTATAATATCTATACAATGATATTAAGCTGTCCCTCTAGAGCAATTGGTTAAATGCCCCGGCTTTATGGATACAGCTAGCCAGACAATGGCAATTTAAATAAGGATTTAAGGAACACCTGTTATAGTCAAATTCAAACGAGCACTCAAGAATTTCATTTTTAGACTGATATTTCTTCACTACCTTTGTTAGTGGAGCTTACAAAACTTGAACAAATGGAAGATTTCAGAGAACCGAAATAGAATATCTAGTAATTGATAATGCTAGTTGCGTCATTTTGTCCGCATGCAATTAAAATGCCAAGCCAAAGAAAAAGCATGTTGCAATAACCGAAAAATGACATTTTTTATAGTTGAAACCTTAGGTCAACCTAAAGTCAACTCATCCACTTGAATATTTCTCAAAGAGCTATAACTCTGAAAGTATTAAAAGAGTTATTGATTCATTTGATATTCTTTGAACTCATGTTTATGATTTGATTTGATTGCGAGCCTGAATTAAGGGGCAATGTTTTACATAATTCTTTTATTTTCATAACCTTTTTTCCCTCCTAAATAAGAGAAAGGAAAAAATATTTCAAACAGGACAGTCTCAAATGTGAAAGGATGCAACCCGAGAAGAAAATGGGGCATGATCGATTCCAAGGATCAAGATCGACAGACAAAGCACGAGACTCCGTCCAAGGATATTTCATATTGCATGCATCTTAGACATACTTAAGAGCATTACATTTATCATTTTTCACAATCATAATTTTTTGCAGCTTTCAGAGTCAAGTTTCGACTTCAGGAAGAAATATACTCAATTCAAAAGCACATTCAAAAGTTGATGGTGGTTGTTCAACCTCACAATGAAGGGGCGACTGTCTGACGACAAAACAACTTTTCGAGTTTCATTCAGAGCCAATTTCAACTTCACAGCGAAGGATATTGGACTCGAAACAATACAAGCTTGGATTTTTAACTTCATGAAGAAGGATATTCAAGTCAGGGCTTAACTTCACAACGAAGGGGCCATCCACGATTTCAACTTCACGACGAAGGATATCGTGCCAACTCTAGATTGGATTTCAACTTCACGACGAATGATATCCAATTCAAAGCTCAACTTCACGGTGAAGAGGCTTCCCAGTTTCATTCAGAGCCAATTTCAACTTCACGACGAAGGATATTGGACTTGAAACAATACAAGCTTGGATTTCAACTTCAATATGAAGGATATTCAAGTCAGGGCTTAACTTCACAATGAAAGGGCCATCCACGATTTTAACTTCACGACGAAGGATATCATGTCAACTCT